AAGGAAAAGTCTCCACCTCAAGTAAAGGAAGAAGAGAAGAAAGAATTGAAAGTAAAAGAAAAAGAAATTGCTGTGATTGAAGAAAAGAAAGAGAAGAAAATAGATGAAGTCACCCCACCTGAATCCAAAGTAAAGAAAGAAGTGAAGGAACCAGTGAAGGAAAAGTCTCCACCTCAAGTAAAAGAAGAAGAAAAGAAAGCTTTGAAAGTAAAAGAAAAAGAAATTGCTGTGATCGAAGAAAAGAAAAAAGATGAAATCGCCCCACCTGAACCCAAACTAAAGAAAGAAGTGAAAGAAAAGTCTCCACCTCGAGTAAAACAAGAGAAGATAGAATTGAAAGTAAAAGAAAAAGAAATTGCTGTGGTCGAAGAAAAGAAAGATGTGAAGAAAATAGATGAAGTCACCCCAACTGAATCCAAAGTAAAGAAAGAATTGAAAGAAGCAGTAAAGGAAAAGTCTCCAACTGAAGTAAAGGAAGCAGAGAAGAAAGAATTGAAAGTAAAAGAAAAAGAAATTGCTGTGATTGAAGATCAGAAAGAAAAGAAAAAAGAGGAAATCGTACCACCTGAAGCCAAAGTAAAAAAAGAAGTGAAGGAACCAGTGAAGGAAAAGTCTCCATCTCCAGTAAAAGAAGAAGAAAAGAAAGCTTTGAAAGTAAAAGAAAAAGAAATTGCTGTGATCGAAGAAAAGAAAAAAGATGAAATTGCCCCACCTGAACCCAAACTAAAGAAAGAAGTGAAAGAAAAGTCCCCACCTCGAGTAAAAGAAGAGGAGAAGAAAGAATTGAAAGTAAAAGAAAAAGAAATCGCTGTGATTGAAGAAAAGAAAGAGGTGAAGAAAATAGGTGAAATCGCCCCACCTGAATCCAAAGTAAAGAAAGAAGCGAAGGAACCAGTGAAGGAAAAGTCTCCATCTCAAGTAAAAGAAGAAGAGAAGAAAGAATTAAAAGTAAAAGAAAAAGAAATTGCTTTGATCAAAGATCAGAAAGAAAAGAAAAAAGATGAAATCATGCCACCTGAAGCCAAAGTAAAGAAAGAAGTGAAGGAACCAGTGAAGGAAAAGTCTCCACCTCAAGTAAAGGAAGAAGAGAAGAAAGAATTGAAAGTAAAAGAAAAGGAAATTGCTGTGATTGAAGATCAGAAAGAAAAGAAAAAAGAGGAAATCAAGCCACCTGAAGCCAAAGTAAAGAAAGAAGTGAAGGAACCAGTGAAGGAAAAGTCTCCACCTCAAGTAAAGGAAGAAGAGAAAAAAGAATTGAAAGTAAAAGAAAAAGAAATTGCTGTGATAGAAGAAAAGAAACACGAGGAGAAAAAAGATGAAATCAAACCATCTGATGCCAGACTAAAGAAAGAAGTGAAGGAACNGAAGAAACAAAAGATATTAGTAAAAAAGAAACACCAAAAGAATGCTTTGCTGAAAGTTCTGAAGCAGAAATGTCAGCTTCTGAAGAATGCATAGAAATAAAAACTTCTATTTATGAAAAGAAAGAAGCTAACATAGACAGTATTGCAGATATAGGAATGAAGGCAACACAAAGTAAAGAATCAGAAAAATTTTATTTTGAAGAAACTGAAACAATTAAAAAACAAGAAATTAAAGAGCATATTGCAAAAAGCTTTGAGACTGAAATGTCTGCATTAGAGAAATGCAATGAAGAAGAGTCTTTATTACTTAAAACAAGAGATGTGTGTTTGGAAAGAGAAGCATATAAACTTGATGAAAACTTTAACAAACAAGAATATGTTGCAGAGGCTTCTATAGAAGAAATGAAAACTGATGAAAAACATTTAAAAAATATAGCTCCACTTGAAGAGAAGCAAATTTCTTTAGTTCAAGAAACTGTTTCAGAAAAAATTTCAGAAGCTTCTATAAAGTCCTTGATAACAGAAGACAAAGATGAGGCAGAAAATATAAAGGTTGAAAGTTCTACTGAGAGAGAAAAAGAAAAAGTATTGAATGGAACTAAAATGGAAGATGATAAATTGCAGGAAATTAAACTATTTTCAGATGTTCCAAAACCTCCACGTCGAAAATCTAAAGCCGAAAAGAAACAAATAGAGAAAGGAGAACAAGCCTCTTGGCAATCTTCTGAAAGTCTAGCAGTAAGTGAAACTAGTGCAGAAATATCAATAGCTGAAAGTGAAGAATCAATCAATTTTTTTGATTATATGAAATCATTTTCTTCCTCTGAAAAAATAGATTCAGCAAATAAATCTGAAACTGCTTCAACTGTTGCACCTATTCCACCTCGCAGAAAATCGAGAACTCTAGAAAGAAAACCAAGAAAGTCCGAAGATGACATTTTAACCCAGCAGAGCAAAAGTGTAGAAACACTACCAACTGAAGAAGGAGAATTTAATTATTTTCAATATCTAAAAACAGCTGATAGCGGTGAAAATAAAATGCCAATTCGTCCAAGAAGGAAATCAAAATCTGAAAAAGATGAAACATCATCACAAATTTCATGTGAAGATATATCATCTGAACTTGACTTTAATATTCAACATGTACCTCCTCAAAGAAAGATAAAATCTCATGAAAAAATTGATATGGAAAGTAAAGAACAAGCATCTGTATCTAGCATAGGCATTCCTGCTGAAACAAAGTTAAGTAAAATTTCAGATGCAACTGAACCAATGGAAGTAGAAGAAATAGAAGATTCTCCAACATTTATTCAAAAGGAGGAAACTGTTCAAAAGCCTCAAAAACCACAACGTACTTCAAAATTAAAGTTAAAAGAGAAAAAGTTTGAAAGTTTAGAATCAGTGACAGAAAGTACAGCAGAAAAAGATGAAATAAAATTAGAAGATATTTCTTTCATAAAACATGAGGATATACAAGCTGAAAATTTGGGAAAAATGGGTATTGAAACACTAACAGAAACAACTTCCTTAGAAACTGAAGAACAAAAAGATTATAAACAAGAAGTAATAATTAAGAAAGAACATGGTCAACATGAAATATCAGAAAAACCAGAAATAACAGATACTACTATGCAGATGAACTATAAAAAAGAGAATTTAGATGATGTTCCTGTTGTACCAAAACGAAAGAAAGGTATAGATAAAGATGTGCAAGGATTAATTCCACAAAAGACAAAACTACAAAAAGAAGAAAAGGAAGAGAAGTTTATTACTGAACAAAATCAAGTCATTTCATCTAAAACTACAGAAAAAATGGATGTAGAACCATCAAAACAATTATCCCCTCAAATACAAGAAGTACAGAGGAACGAAATGGAAATAGTTTTTCCCAAAATCACAGAAAAAACAGAATCTACAATACAAAAAAAAGAACATTTTCCCCAACTAAAAGAAGAAACTGGGAAAGAACAAATATGTATAGAAAAGAAAAAATCATCTCGCCAAGGAGAGCAAAAAGAAACAGCAATAAATTTAATTGAAGGTGCAGACACAGATGCAGAGAAATATCAAATAAAAGATGAAATAAAAGAAAGAGAGGAAAAAGAAGGAACAAGATCAGATAAGTTAAAAGATGATGATGAAAAGAAAACTGAAATGAAAGAAACAGACATTTTTCTACCACAACCTAAAATAAGAAGAAAGGATGTAAAAGAATTTATCAAAGAGCAATCTTCAACTCAGATACAGGAAGAAAATAAACAAGAATTGAGAGTAAAAGAAAAGGAAATTGCTGTAATTGAAGAAAAGAAAGAAGAGAAAAAAGATGAAATCAAGCCACCTGAAGCCAAAGTAAAGAAAGAAGTGAAGGAACCAGTGAAGGAAAAGTCTCCACCTCAAGTAAAGGAAGAAGAGAAGAAAGAATTGGAAGTAAAAGAAAAAGAAATTGCTGTGATAGAAGAAAAGAAACACGAGAAGAAAAAAGATGAAATCAAACCATCTGATGCCAGACTAAAGAAAGAAGTGAAGGAACCAGTCAAGGAAAAGTCTCCACCTCAAGTAAAGAAAGAAGAGAAGAAAGAATTGAAAGTAAAAGAAAAAGAAATTGCTGTGATAGAAGAAAAGAAACACGAGGAGAAAAAAGATGAAATCAAACCATCTGATGTCAGACTAAAGAAAGAAGTGAAGGAAAAGTCTCCAACAGAAGTAAAGGAAGCAGAGAAGAAAGAATTGAAAATAAAAGAAAAAGAAATTGCCATGATCGAAGAACAGAAAGAAAAGAAAAAAGATGAAATCAAGCCACCTGATGCCAAACTAAAGAAAGAAGTGAAGGAACCAGCAAAGGAAAAGTCTCCACCTCAAATAAGAGAAGAGGATAAAAAAGAATTGAAAGTAAAAGAAAAAGAAATTGCTGTGATTGAAGATCAGAAAGAAAAGAAAAAAGATGAAATCAAGCCACCTGAAACCAAAGTAAAGAAAGAAGTGAAGGAACCAGTGAAGGAAAAGTCTCCACCTCAAGTAAAGGAAGAAGAGAAGAAAGAATTGAAAGTAAAAGAAAAAGAAATTGCTGTGATTGAAGATCAGAAAGAAAAGAAAAAAGAGGAAATCAAGCCACCTGAAACCAAAGTAAAGAAAGAAGTGAAGGAACCAGTGAAGGAAAAGTCTCCACCTCAAGTAAAGGAAGAAGAGAAGAAAGAATTGAAAGTAAAAGAAAAAGAAATTGCTGTGATTGAAGATCAGAAAGAAAAGAAAAAAGAGGAAATTGTACCACCTGAAGTCAAAGTAAAGAAAGAAGTGAAGGAACCAGTGAAGGAAAAGTCTCCACCTCAAGTAAAAGAAGAAGAAAAGAAAGCTTTGAAAGTAAAAGAAAAAGAAATTGCTGTTATTGAAGAAAAGAAAGAGGCAAAGAAAAAAGAAGAAATCAAGTTGCTTGAGACCAAAGTAAGAAAGGAAAGTCAAGAAGAAGTGAAAGAAATTTTTCTACCTGAGGTAAAAGAAGAAAAACAGAAAGAGAAGAAAAAATTGAAGATGAAAGATAAAGAAATTTCTCCACCACAACAGAGTGAAGAAAAGATGAATAAGGATGTCTCTCATGCTACTGTCAGGAAAAGAAAAGAAATCAAGCAATCAGTAAGCGAGAAATCAGTAGTTGAGACAGAGGAGAGAGAGGAAGATGCTAAGACAAAAGCAAAACTTATATCGTCTTCTGAATCAAAAGAAATCTTAAATAAAGATTCAGTCAAAGATCAAAAAGTGTCAAGAAGGAGAAGAAAAAGCTCTGTCAAAGAAAAACAAATAGAACATAAAATAAAAGAGGAAGGAAAGATTTCAGATGACACTACTTTAATTTCAACTGAAGTAATTAAAATAAAACCTAGAGACCCTGATGAAATGTATATTAAAGTCAGTGAAAAAGATACTTCTATTTCTTATAAGGAGAAGATTTCTTATAGAAAGCCAATTGATTCAGAATTAGCAATACATTCCATTAAAACAAGAAAGGAAAAGTCATTTGAAAAAAGTGATAGCATGAAATCTCTTGAAAAAATATCTCCAAGTGTTTCTTTTACATCTTTAAGTAGCTTAAGAAGGGAAATGTCATCATCTTTAACTTCTTTGCGTGGTTCTGCAGAATATATTTCCTCAAGAAGTCCGAGTAAAACTAGACAATCATTTTATCAAGAGATCATTCCATCTGGCCTTCCACCTCGTCCAAAGCCTAGAAGAAAAATAAGGGAGTCAGTGACCGAAGTAACTCACATGGAATCTTCTCCAATATATTGTAGAAGTCATTCTGATCATTTCTATTCTGACACGAAAGATTCAGATTATTATACAGCACTGAATCAAAAATTATACATGAGAAGTAACCAAGAAATGAAAAGAAAACAGATTTCATCATTATCTCCAGAAAGAATGGTAATCTCTCCAGAATCTTCATACTTACATGGTATTGATAAAAGATTTCCTACACGAAAAAGTTATGACAGTTATCATGTTCCACATTCACCTTCCTTAAAAATGAAGGAATCCTATTTTAGTGCTGGTAAAAGAGAACATGCATTACCTTTTGTCTCTTCCATGCTGCCAGATTCTAAAAGAATTGAGATGCATGAAAAAACATTTAAAGCTTATAGAACTCCATCTTTGGAAGATATTTGTTTATATTCATTCAGATCACAATCGCCTTCAAAAGTTTCAGCAAGTTCACAGAGAGAGTTGGACTATGTTGACTCAACAGCCCCGAAAACTAGTAATGAATTAACAAGATCAATTTCATTAAGGAATTTGATAAAACCTGAATCAAGACCTATATCTCCTATTATGGTCAAAAAAGCTACTCCTCAGAAAGAAGATTATTTGACTGTATCTGAAAGAAGAGCTGAGATTAGAAGAAGAAGAAAACAACAAACTCAATTGAAATTATGGAGTTCCTTACAGGATATTTCATTGGCTAGTGGAGACGTCACTTTCAACAGATTAAGAAGAGAAGAGCCTTGTTTCATGCGATCAACATCTGTTAGAGATATAACAATGGAAGATGAGAGGTATATATCTGCATTCCGAAAACTACAAGATATAATTACTGAGCCTCCATCACCACCGCCTAGGTTATTAAAAGAAATGAGAAAAGAAATAGGAATTAAAACACAATATAGATCTCTTCGAGAATTAAATACTGAAAGTATTCCAGTACCTCCACCCAGGATAATGAGGCACATCAATTATAAATACATTCCACAGAAATACTCAATAAGAGATATAGATAATACAGAAGGATCATATTATCGTATTAAAACAAGTATTCTTCAAGATTCTATTAGAACATCAAGAGAAACTCTTAGGCAAAGTTCAGAGGCAAAAACAATTTACAAAATTATTTCTAGTAGGGAACAAAGTAGAGAACAAGGTATTTCTGAAGATATTTCAAAAACGCATAGAGGATTTCAAGTTCACTCGTATTCCATTAAAGATATTAATAAAAAAGGTTCTCTATATCTACCAGCTACTCAACAGATTTCAAGCTATAAAAAGGATAGAAGTTCTTCCCCAATTCCACCTTTAACAGAACGTAGCAGAGAAAGAAGTAGAAACTGGAAGAATCAAACAATTAATCAATATTCTCCAAAATTAAAGGGAGAAATGTATACTTCTTTAAGTAAAAGAGATAGAAGTATATCACCAATAGAAAGATTAAGGAAAATTAGCAATATGGATGATGATAGAGAAAAATTTATGGAGACAAGTCGATCATCTCCAGATTTTAGTATTGAAAAAGTTTTAAGGAGTAGATATGTTTCTCCAATGACAAAAAGAGTTAGTCGTAGCATATCTCCTTTAACAAGGTTAAAAGAAATTTGCAATAAAGATGATGTAAATAGAAAATCTGAAGAAGTAAAACAGACTTCATCTTATTTTAATGAAAGTGTTACTGTGAGACGCAGATATGTATCACCTGTAACAAGAGGAAAATCTAGGAGAAGTATTTCTCCAATAACAAAGCTAAAAGAAATATGTAATTCTGAAACTATAATAGAAGATGGGGAAATAAGCAGATCTTCACCAGATAGTTTGGAAATTAGAGACAGATACACTTCTCCTTACAAGACAAGAGATACTAGAAAAAGTATTTCACCAGTGAGAAGAGTAAGAAAAATTAATTCTGAGCAAAAACTTGATCAAATCCAAAGATCATCATCTCCAATATTATCAGAAAGAAATATAAGATTTAAACCTATTTTACCAGACATTGCATTAGCTAGTAGACAGTCTCGAACAAGAACAAGATGTCATCCTATGTCATCTGATAAGAAAACTACAAAGGTCAGTATGTAGTTCAATGATAGCAAATTTAAATTACTAAATATCTAAAGTTAAATTTTATTGGGTTATGGTTAACCAAAAGATAGTCCAATGGCTTTAGACATTTTGTACTCTTTATAGATTTGGACTTGACTTTAGTTATTTGAATAGTAAAATTAAATTTTAACATATGGGTAAGTTACTACAGCAATTTATAATAGTATACTTGTTATATCCATAGAATCGGGCAGATCTATATAGGGACTAATAGGGCTTAAGCCCTGGGCCCCCAAGTGTCAAGGGCCCACAAAAATTGAATTATCATCATAAATTTTTAATACTTTTTCATTAACAATGAGCACTTATCGTCATTCAACACCATATCATAAATAAATATATGTAGGCTGTTTTTTTCAAGCTCTGATGGTCCATAAAAGAAGACAAGTGTAAATAACAAAATGAATTTATTACCAAAAGTTAGGTACAAACATGGTTACTTTTCGACATAATCACTGTGAAGATTGAGGCATTTATCATATCTGTGGATGAGCTTTTCCATCCCTTTGTCATAGAATGTTGCCACCAATAACTTGAGGTGGGCCCTAATGTGTTTTTGAAGATCGTCATTAGTCTCGAACCTCTGCCCTCCTAGCCACTTCTCCTGTTCATGAAAGAGGTGGAAGTCGCTCGGCACTAAATTGGGGCTATACACTGGGTGTTTAAAGGTGGTGAAGAAGACTTCCACCCAGCTTAAAACTTTTTAATGTGTGAAGACTTCCACCTTTTTCCTTAACTGAAAATGTGGCTAGCAGGGCAGAGGTTTGAAACTCATGAACTAATTCTTTGAATCTTTGAAACAACGTTGTTAAGGCCATCTCAATTCACTGGCGGCAACATTCTATGACAAAGGGATGGAAAAAATTTATTTACACTTGTCTTTGTTTTATGGACCATCAGAGCTTGAAAAAAAAGCCCTCATATTTCAACTCTGATTTGTTATTAAAAATAAAGTTTAAACTCCAATTTAAAGATTTTTAATCTAACAAAAAATGGGGCCCCATTGGACTTCAATAAGCCCTAGGCCACAAAAAATCTAGGTCTGCCCCTGCATAGAATGAACAATCACTTCAAGTGATATTTATAGATTCCAAAACTTTATTAACTATACAGGTTGTATATCACAGGAACATGTTTTCATATATGGCCATAATCAGTGTATGATCAATGAGACACAAAGAACAAAGAGGAAAGGGTATGGGGTCACTTGACTTGGTTAAGGGGCAAGTTGATCTGGACTGTTGCCTAATGATGGTCTACATACAACAATTCTCCCACACTTAAGAAAATGTTGTTTACAATTTATTGATTTGAAGGTTTAGGCATTGGATTGGTTTGCATATTCTCATTGATCATCAAGATTTCAATTCATTTGAGTTTTCCTGGATTCACTTTAAGTTCTTTTTCCTTTGCTGGGGCTGTTTGGAGGCTGTTGTCATTGTCTCCTCTGGGTTGGATATTTCCATTCAATCTCCTATCAGAGCTAACTGTATATACATAGATGTAAACTAGTACTAGCTAGAAATGAAGCTCTATTTTCACTGGTTACTGTATCATTGCATCTGTCAATTTTATTTTTGCTGAGGTCATATTCTATCTGGATAGGGTTTGTGTATTTTTCAATTTCACATGGGCACAGTTGATCATAATGCCTTTTTACTATGTAGTCATTGTTGAGTTCAATTAAATAATGGACACAATCTCCCATGTGATAAAATTTGTAGAATTTTGGCTGTATATTTCCATGGAGAGCTTGTGCCTAAGGTTAAAGCAAATCTAATGTTCTTATTCTACAGCCAGATTTTCTGCTGGGCTTTTCCCATTAGCTATGGGAATTGTTCAATATTAGAAGAGAAGTTTATAAAGATGTAATGTTCGATTTTCATGCTTCATGCATTTGAGATGTGTTTTTAAGGAGAAGCAAGATATTTCAACCAGGCCATTTGTGGCTGGTGTCCTGCTGCAATTAAGCTTTGGTGGATTCCATTTGAACAAAATTTTTTTCAAATTGCAGCTCAATAATGATTTATGAATGGGGTCCTTCATAATCAATGTGGATACATTGCCAATTTTTGTAGGAGTTTCCCATTTGTATAGCCTATTGGGGCCTTTGTTGGGTTTTTCTTGATGTCACAGCACTTTTTATCTTTTAACCGTGTTCTCAATATCAGAGTCAATATTACACCAGTAACAGTAATTTCAGGCTAAGGCCTTCATTTGGACAATTCCTATGTATGGAGTGTAGCTCTTGAAGGACAGCTGCCTGTAAATTTTTGGATGATTACACATTGTCCTTGAAAGAGAATACCATGAAAGAGAATATGTATAGATATTTCTGGAATATATACGGTATATATGGAAAATGAACTTACATTAACCCTGCACACTTTTTCAACAGTTAAAATGTTTAATAACTAAAATGCAAATATTTTCAGTTATGTTTGGCGGCCAGTGTCAGCTGTGTACAGATCTGTATTGCAAGCCAAACATTTTTTAAATTCTGAAATGTTTTTAAACATATTTACAACACAAGCTCAAAAAGGACAGTATATTCAGAACTAAACTTTCCCTTATTTAACTTAACACCCAAAAATATTTTGACAATTAAAAACAAATTAACAAAAATCGAAACGGTAGCTCAATAATTTTCTTATTAAATCATTTATATACTACCACTGAAATGATTTTTATGGCCTGGAAATCTTTCATAGCTAATTCATCAAATGGTGGTATATGAACAATTTAATAAGAAAATTACTGAGTTGCTGTTTAAATTTTTTATTGTGCGAGAATTTCAAAAATTGTAGACCTATAAATTCCATCTCTCTCTGTCCTTCCTTAATATTGAGAACGGACTTAGATAAATGAAAGCCAGGACCAGATATGGAACAATTAGGGGCAGGAGGCCCTGATTAACTATACAAACCAGAAGTCACATTATTTCAATTCAAAAAACTTCCCAAAAGGAGTTAGATAGATGACTGGCATGACTATTGCTAACAGGAAAAGTATGATGTATAGGGGCAAAACTACTGCTAATTTGAGGTGGAGAGCATATATTTTAAATTAAATAAATTAAAAAAATACGATTAAAAATTGCAGCCCAGCATTGTGATGATGTCACAATAAATAATTGCTCATTAAAGATATAGGGTTCTGTGATAGGAAATTGGAATTTGTGTGTTCAATAGATTTTCAATGTTTCATGATATAATCAAAGTTGGAAGGGAAATGTGCATATCTTAGCATTCTTGTAGCTGTCAAAACAGGTAACTTTTTGTCAGGATGTAATATTGTCATCATGATGTTATTATCTACTATGAGAGTAAATTTCCTTTCATAAATATAATCAAAAAGTTTCTTACATGTCCAGTAAACAACAGTAGCCTCTTTATCCATCTGGCTGTAGTTTTATTCACCAAAAAGAAATCTGGAAGTAAATGCTATAGGCCATATTGTTCCATTCAGCATCTGGTGTGACAGTACTCCAGAAAGTCCAAATTGACTAGCATCTGTTGCTAATATTACTGATAGTTAGGGGTAAATTCTCTGGGCTTGCTTAGCATGTGCTGCATGCTTAAGAGAAAGTTTTGACTGTCAATATATTTTTTATATGAGAACAAATATGCCAATAATAATTTATTCTAATGTGTAAACTCTTTTATCATTTGTGTTTCCTTTTACACTGGCAGCTAGCAGTGAGCCATTTTAAGTCAGTGTGATGCTTGCGGGAACTCAATCACTTACTGTGTGGAGGTTTTCTTTGGCAAACAAGTGTGCACACATGGTGCCATTTGGAGCATTTAACATAGCCAGATTGTATCGAAAGCTTGCAGTACCCAGTCAGCAAACATATATATACAGATCTACATACATACAAATAGGGATTAAGCCCTGGGCCCCCAAAAATTGAATTATATTGAATTTTTAATAATTTTTCATTATAATATATTTCGTGTGTAGATATAATGGGCTTTATAATAGTGAATACTTTTTTATTCATACCAAATAATGTTTCTGCCTATTGTTTAGTGCTAGAGATAAGCCTATTATTCTTATTATAACTTTCAGCATGCCCAAAAATTTTGGTCAAATTCACCCCTGCTAGTAGTTTAGGGTTGAATGGAATTAGTATCCTATCACTGGTGATCTCAGATTTTGGACTAATGAATGCTGCTTTCTCCACTACTGTCCAATGGAATTGGGAGTTTTTCTTTAGACATTGATGGATGTTAAATTTTTGATATATTCTTCATGAATCTGGAATAATTATTAACAAGCCCTAAGAATTGATGTAATTCTTCCATATTTCTCAGGTGAAGAATATCCTGGGCAGCTTTTATTTTGTTGGAGATTTTTGAAGTCCTTTTACACTAATTATGTCTTAAGTATTTCACTTTTTTTTCAAAAAATTTACACTTACTTAGATTTACATGTAAATCATTTTGCTGTTAGCTTGTATAAAGACAGTCAGTACATTGTTTTTGTTTTCCCTTGGATTATGATGTCATCAAAATAAGCAATCACTCCTTCAAGATTTTGAGCGATAAACTTCTGAAACTTATTTGGCGTGGATTTAATTCCAAAAAGTAATTGTTTTGCTAGATAGGTTGTTGAGATATGTTGAGATCATTTGTACTTTTGCACTGTCATCATCAACTGATAAATTAACATAAACTTTGTGGATGTCTAACATGCAAAAATTAAATCCACTCTGTAATTTATTGAAAATATCTTCAATGCACGAAATTGGGTGGTGTAAATTATATAATTGCTTGTTGGCTGTGATCTTGTAGTCAGCACAGATCTGTACTGACCCATTAGGTTTTGGGATTATGACCATTGGTGTTTCCCACTCTGAATAATCTATTTTTGATGAGTTTTTGATGATACCCTTATTTTCTAATTTATGTAATTCCTTATCAACTTCTTTCAATGTGTAAGGAACTTGATGTGGTATCAAG